AGCTGGAAGGCTTGGGGAGTGCTCCATCCTTCGGAGTGTTCTGTGATTGCTGGTGAAATGGTTGTGGAGGGATGCTGAGCCAGCCTTGGGGCCCCTGCACACACAGGGGAGCAGCTCCAGCACTGCCACCCCTGCAGGAGCTCTGAGCACCTGGCTCAAAGGCTCTGGCTGTAACAACAAAAGCCAAAACAAAGTCTGGAAGGCTGGGAAGGTGAGGGCAGATGGATGTCAGTGCCCTGAGCTCTCTGCAGGTCAGTGCAGCCTGGTTTATAAATGCCTGTGTTTTCCAGGGGCTGGAGCTGCTAATTGTGTTACCCTGGGCTAATGCAATTCCAGAGGCTGCTCTGACGTGCTGCCAGCCAAGGCTGTGTGCTGCTCTTGGGCTGTAACATCACTGTGGTGGTGCTTGTTGATTACTCCCTGCTCCTCCTTGGCTGTAGATTTTGAAGTCTAATTGCATTTCCTTCCTTCTGCCAATTATCTGGGAGGGGTGCAGTCGTGGTTGTGCAGGGTGGCTCTGGCCCTGCACCCTGAGGAGTGCGGGAGATGCTCCTGGAGGCTGCTGGCTGTGCTGGGGAGCTGCTCCAAGGTGTTTGATGTTGCAGCCTCCTCTTCTGAGCCCTGTGGAGGAGCAGGACTGGAGCTCTGAGGCAGAGCTGTGGGGTGGGCTCGGGGCTGGGGCCAGCTCAGGGTGGGTTTTCCTTCCAGTGACCCCCAGGCCCCTCCACCTGACTCTGCTCTTTTCTGTCCTCTTTTGTTGCTCCAGCTGGTGCCAAAGCTTTCTAGAAACTACCTGAAGGAAGGATACATGGAGAAAACAGGGCCAAAGGTAGGACCTGAAGCATTTTTTAGTCCCTCCAAACATGAGTCTTGCTCTGTATGGCCCCAAGAAGGGGTTGCTGGTGGGACAAACCAACCCTTGCCAGAGAGGCAAAGCCATAACTCTGTGAATGTATTTAATTCACTTTCCTCACCTGGGAGCAAACATTAAAAAAATCCAGATTTACATCTTAAACCCAATGTCCCTTCCTGGTAGAGCTGGCCCAGCCCCTGGCTGTGGTGGCTCTGATGGCCCAGAAATGATCTGTTCCCAACTCCCCCAGCCCATCAGGCTGCTCCAAGTGCTTTGACACTCCTGGGCCATGCATGGTTAGAGAGAAGCTGTGCTGTTCCAGTGTGTGATCTGGCATTTTCTGACTCCCCAGCAAACAGAGGGATTCAAGAAGCGATGGTTCACCATGGATGACCGACGGCTCATGTATTTCAAAGATCCCCTGGTAAGATGAAGGTGCCTGGGCTGCCTGGGGGGAATTACCTGCAATACTACCACTTTTATTATAAGAGTAATAGCAGTAATAATTACAGTAATGATCTGCAGCAAAATGCAGGCTGGTGGGAGAGCCAAGAGGGCACAATGCTGTCACTGCTTGGTGGCTCTGCCTGGTGTCCAGTGGGCAGTAACCCTGTAAATACCAAAACCACTTAAAAAGCCCTGTCCACCAGATATTCTGCATCTGGATCTTGGCTCTCTGGTGTTGGTGCTGTATTGTGGGTGCCCTTGGGTGAGGAGCAGGGCTATGGGTGGTGCTGTTGGGGTTTGGCTGGTGGGCTTGTGGCTGCTGCAGCTGTCCTGGTGCCTGGGCTGCAGAGCTCCCTTCACCCTCACCCCCTTCCTGACTGCTCTGCTGTCTCCTAGGATGCCTTTGCTAGAGGGGAGGTTTTTATTGGGAGCAAGGAGAACAGCTACAAGGTGCTGGAAGGGCTCCCACCATCCACGCAGGGGAACCACTGGCAGCACGGGATCACCATCGTCACCCCGGATCGGAAATTCCTCTTTGCCTGCGAGACAGAGGACGACCAGCTGGAGTGGATCACCACCTTCCAGAAGGTTATAAGCCGGCCAATGCTGCCTCAGGAATATGCAGGTGTGTTCCCTGGGGAGGGCTGGGTGTCAGCCCTGGCCCTGCAGAGTGCCCTGGGCTGGAGGATGGGATGGCTGGAGGGGACTGGGGGTCAGGACATCGCTCCCTCCTGCTCTGTGTGGGGCAGCTCTTCACTGCCCAGGGGATGCAAAGGCTGTTTGAGCAGAGAGGGGCTCACCCTGGAGGAGGAGGAGGATGGTATCCTTCCCTCTTCATTGCCTCTGGTGTGATGTCCATGCTGCTGTATGGTTACAGGGGTAACTAAAGCCAAGGAGCATCAGCAAGGACCATTGTCAGGGTGGGCTTGTGCCAGCCAGTGCTTGCCTTGCTCTAACTTTATTTTCTCTGTTTTTTTCCTTTCAGTGGAAGCCCATTTCAAACATAAACCTTAGCTGGGACTGGCTGGGCAGACCTGAGGAGTGAGCTTCTGTTTACAACACGACGTGGTTTTATTTGAAATGTTAAAAATAATTCATAATAACAGTAATAATAATAACAATAATAATACTTCCCTTTCCCCTCATCATTCACGTGATCATGTCGGAAGGGCGGCGGTGGAACGTCGGAGAAGATCCTGATCCAACTTGAAATTCAGCTCTGTGGCTGCTCTGTGGGGTGGGACAGGTGGCCCTGCCACCCCATCACCCCACACCCGCTTCACCAGGATGGCAGAGACTGTTGGTGGCACATCCCAGGGGCAGCTGGGACTCTTCCCCATGCTCAGGTCCCTGGTGCTGGAGCTGAGCATCCCCACACTTCCAGATGGCTGCCAGCCCTTTCCAGGGGGCTGCAAGTCCCCAAGGGTGACATCCCTGTGGGATGGGAGGCAGCCTGGAAACACAGGAAAGGTGCTGTGCCAAAGCAGCTGAGCCTGCCATGGTGCCAGGGAAAATGAGGAATGAATTATCCCCCTGGGGACTGGGGGTGATGCCCTACCCAGAAAGGGTCAAATAGGATTTAGATATAGAGGAAATGGGCATCATCAGCCTCGTTAAGGTAATGAAGGGCAGGGAGGAGGGGGCTGCAAGGGAGACACCAACCCATGAGGTGATGCTGGGGGAGCAGAGCTTTGGGGGCCAGGCCTGTGTTTGGCTCCCTGGGTCACCCCTGTTCCATGGTCTGGGGGGCTTTGCCCCATTTGGGGAGCCTGGGATGGAGCTGGGGGTTGAGCTTTATCTGCAATTTTGCTGATGGGCACCATCAAAGCCTGTCCCAGCTCACTCCCAGCAGGCACATCCCTTCTCCAGACTTGGTGGTTGCACTTTTTCCCCCAATAATCCAATTTTTTTTGGTTGATTTTTCTTCTCCTGCCCAAAAAAAAAAAAAAAAAAAAAAAAAAAAAAAAAAAAAAAAAAGCCAAAAAAAAAAAAAAAGCTGCTTGAAGTGACGTTTCAGCGCGGTGTTGAGCACTGTAATTCCTGCAGTTAGGGCGGGCGGGCTGGGACCTGCACACCAGGTGCTGGATTTTTAGCCCAAAATGAGATTTCCAGCGTGCCCTGAGGGCCCAGCCCCAGCCACGGACCTGTCCGACGCGTTTCCTCGGGTGGTTGTGTATCTGAGAGCATCCCATCGGCTGTGTGCATTCGTTCTGTCACTGGTAAGACAACTGTGCTACTAAATGTCATTCCAACCAATAAATTATTATTATGTCAGAGCCGTGGCCGTGTGGTGCTGGGGCAGGGCAGGGAGGTGGGGTTAAAAAGCAGCAAATGGAAACAAGGAGGTGCCAGTGCTGGCAGGGCCCCAGGGGTGTGGGACACCCTCAAAACACAATGTGTATTATTTTAGCTATTATTTGTGTAAATGTGTGTGTTATGGTGCATATTCTGTGTATTTTCTCTGTAATAGTTCTTTATGTGTGCACACACATGCACAAAGGATAGCTGGTTCTTGGGAATAGAGAAATAAGCTTTAGGAAGGGGTTGTTGGCTATTCAGACAACTATAAACTGCATAGTGGGTAGGTGTAATATGTAAAATGTGTGTATATGTGTGAGGTGTTTGTATGCACACATTCATGTACAGATGTAGCACTCATATTCACTTTACAAAGATATAAGCTAAATGTATTTCACACACCTGTTTATGTATAGACATTTTTATACTTTGTTTTCTAAAATATGTGATTCTATATTATATACACATGTGCATGCTTTATATACATATAATTTATAAATATATTTATAAATTTAAGGTGTATATCTGCATGCACATGTGTATGCCTAACTATAATTATATATTTAACTTATATTTAAAGTATTTATAAGTGTATGTTACCCACACACTGTCATTCAGTCTTACTTACCAACCCAGGCACAGCAGAAGCAGGGAGAGCACAGACTGGGTTCCTTGTTTGTGTTTATAGGTAGCTATAAAAATTGTTTTGTGTGCATGTATAATTAAGAATAATATTATAATTAATATGTAATACAAGTATATAATTATTATCTATACAAAAGGCTGTTTATATGTGTGTGTGTATACATGTATTTTAAATTCCTAGGTATATGTTTTATACACACACACATGTAAGTTCTGTATATACTGTTGTAATTATTGAATATACATTTTATATATATCCACGTGTAGGTGCCTCAGCCCTGGAGCACTGCCTTCCTGTCAGGGCTGGGGTGTTGGGGTCAGGGCACATGCAGAGCTCACAGTGGGGGCTGCAGACAGAGCTGAGGCAAAAACCTCACATTGGGTCACATACACAGGACACAGCAGGGGACATGAGCTGGATGCCTGTGGACACCTCATACTGCCTGAGAGGCACATTCCTGGCAGCCAAAAGCAATGTAAGCTGTGCTTCTAAACCTCTGCTGGCATCCCAGATCATTTCTTAAATGTCAAAGCACCAGCCCGGAGAGGGAGCTCTTCCCTTAAGCTGCTGCACAGCAAAGCAAGCTCCACCTGCTCCAGATATTCCAATACCCCAAGAGAATTACACCTTTACTGCACAGAGGTGAAGTGAAGCACCGAGGGCTGGATGACCAAGAGTGAAATGCAGAGTGAAAAAAATAGCAAGGAATATAAAGCTCTGCTTGGGAAACTCTTTAGAAAGCAGCAGTATCGCACATCCTGGTATAAAGTGTTTATTTGAGACTTCACAATTAACACAAAGTCTTCCTGTCAATGCCTTTTTTTTTTCATACAGTCAATAAATTTGTATTAATCCCTCCCCCATGCATGATTGCTGTTTATTAATCTAAGCCTTTTTATTTTCATCGTGAAAAAATAAAGCGTTTCCCCACCCTTTCACCTGTTCCCTGTACCAGACTGTGCTGCATTACAGAGGAGATGGAGAATGGCTATGCCTACTGCTGGGGGTGAAGTTACTCCATTATTTATTGATTTATTCTTTTTTTTAACAGAAAGTGTTAAATGAATCAATCACCCAAGAAAAATAAATATATCATAAAGAACCAGAAGCTCTGCAGTATCCCTTTTCTTGCCATCCAGCCCAGTTCAAGCACGTACCCTACTCACAGCAACGCTGCCGCCTGCACGTACAGCTGGGAACTTACACTGGCAAAATCTCTTCCAAAGTACAGCCACAAGCCACAGGATGTATTTTAGATGCCACATTTTTATACCTAGGCAAGAGAGATCCAGCTGGAAGCCAATTACTTGCGTTCCACTGATGGGCTTTTACTCAAGAGCTATTCAACCTTGTGCTTTTCAGGAGGTATCGGCTAAACACACGCGTGGGCTCAGCCAGAGCCCGGCCTTGGGGAGAGGGGCAGGCAGTATGAAGGGTGTGCATGTTACTCATGGCAGTGGAAGCAAGTTCTTGTATCAATGTCTCTTGGATGTGCATCTCAAATTATGCTGCTTGGCTCGTCTCGCAGTACTTTTGGCACCAGCCTCACAAATCAATTATTCAATTGCTCCCCCTGCCTCTCGAGATCTTCCTTGGAAGAGGGCAGAGGGCAAGGAGGCTTTCTCAGAACACAGGTGGTATTGGGTAGGCCGTGAAGGACAAGCCCCATGTTTATGCTTTATTAAAGACTGTGCAAAAGGGAATACTGCATCAGAAACCGCAGACTATGTTTAATCAGTCCCAGCCGCTGGATCGGACACCCACTAACAACCGCTCCGATATTGGTTCGTTTGGCTACTTTTTGTTGGTTTCTTTCTTTTTTTTTTTACATAAATAATATAGACCGACAGTATAAACATTTCAGCAACCATTTCTAAAAGACCAGAGGAGCCCTTTTAGGAGCCAAGAAACAACTGCAGGATTCAAATTCCAAAAGTGTCTTTGGAGTCATCGAATCATCAGATTTACACGGCACCCAATGACAACAACATTCAGTCGAGCTCGATAGGACTGCTGTCTTCCTGACCATCTTCTGTGTCATCATCTTCCCCAGTTCCCATCAGACTGTTTAAAAGATTTCCTAGAATAAAGTACAGGAGAGTCAAAAACACTAGTTTTACATCTCAAAAAACTTTCAACTAATCTTCCATCCTGCTGCAGTACAGATTTCGGTAACAAAAAAAACCCAAGAGTTTTGAAGTAGAAGAGTCTCACCAAGACATTAGTAATCCCACACTGGTTTCCATTATGAATATTGATTTGGGAAGCTGTATACTCTTAGCTGTTCACTGATACTGTTCCTTCTCTAAGAATACACTTGAAAAACCCAAAGTCACATATTTATGTGCTACAGTTTCGCCCTCAGAGGGGAAAAAAAAAACAACTAAAAGAGGAAAAACACACCTCCAGCAGTGAAACTCTCAAAAAGCAGTCACAGTCTGCATCGGGGTGTAAAAAAATTGTCTTAAACTCAGAGGCATCAATTTAAAGATGCCTGAATTGCTGAAAAGCAAATTACGATGGTAAAAACACAATGCTCATGTTTTTCATCAGGCTTTGGGTATCAGCGAATTGATGTTTGTAGGTAAAACTTCAAGTCACTTTACAAAGAAGCTTAGTTCTCAAGGAAAACATTAATTTTATGCTAATTTCATTCAAGAGCCAGGAAATGAAGGCTAAATTTCTCTATTCAGTCCTTGTAGAAGGGCAGTATTAATTTCAGAACTTCCTCTTTGGACACATTCATGTTGTATCAGTACTGATTAGATCTCTACCAAAGCCCCATACTTGGTTTAAGAAAAATCAGTCACTGAATTCTGAAGAAATTAAGATTTAACACCAGTAAGATGCTTCTTTACATTAGGAAGCTATACCATAATGTCAGAAATTAACCATAAGAGTCTTTTTACTGCTTCTCCCCTTCTCAGTGATGAAAAGTCTACAAACTCCCACAAATCACTTTCACATGCAACCCTTCATTTTGTATTCTACAGCATGGGCTGTTCCTACAGGCTATGAAAAGAATTATAAATTGGTTAGAACAGATTCTCTGTTTCCAACACAGGTGTTTTATCCAGGTCACTGACCAAAGCCTGGAGGTACCTCCAAGCAGAGCTTACCTAGCAAGCCCCCGTAGGATGAGGTCTGCTTGGGCGGAACTCCGAAGAAAAGCTGTCCTATTCTATCTAGGTACTGTAGGGACACAAGGTGAAAAAAGTCAATGATTTCATTTACAGGTGGCAGAAGTCACCCAGGCCAGGTAAATCACCAGCTCTTATCTACAAAGCTGGAGACAATCAGACATTTTTTCACTCCTTGAGTGAGCTAAATCCTGTTTATGAGTAACTCACCTCATTATACATGGGGTCTCTTTTCAGCGAAGGTTGATACTGTTCACACAATACTGTAAATACTGTTAGTTTTCCTCTAGAAAGGAAACAACCAAAAATGTAATCTCAGTTAACAACTGAAAAGGAAACCAAGAAGGACATGACAGAAATCAGACTGTACCCATCAACTGCCAACAACAGAAACCAGATGAAGTTTAGCAGTGGTTGCACAAAGGGTGGACCCTTCTCTATCGAAGGATGTTTCTGTGTGTATGTCGTAAAAACAACTGAGGCGCTGGTCTTATTTTTTAAGCAGAGAAATCTGAAAAAGGAAAGAGAATGGGGCAAGTTAAAAACAAAGGGCAGAGAAATGGTTTCGCCACAGAGAAAGGGAAAGCCAAAATCTACTTCACTTGTGCATAGAGGCCGTGTCAGGCTTGAAATGATGGCAAAATAAAACTGTTAGAGATGGACATCTTTGGGGATGCTTTGGCCATCAGCTGAGGAAGGGGAAAATCACTACTAGAACACACTGTGGAATAGGCAGGTTGGGAGGGAAAAGATTTTAAATATTTATAGAATAAGTTCAACCAGGATCTAAGCAGATTGTAGAGGATTGTTACTAAAAGAGAGTATCAATTTGCAGAATGTGGAAAGACCGGCTACCCTGTAATTCACATGAAAATGATATTGCATCTACTGGTCCAGGATTGACTATGCTGAGTTAAAAATTAAAGACCCATTCATCCCCAAACACATCTCCTTTTAGTATGTATCTGTCAGTATTTGTTGATTCTGTCACTCTATTCCACCTCAACATAATGTGGCATCAGGACCACTAATAGCTTGACACACATGCCTAAAAATCTCATAATAAAGCTGTACTTTGAGCTCCCAAACCATTTGTCCCCAAGAGATCGATCCCTCAAACAGATCAAATCCTTGTTCAGGTCCAGTTAATTTAACTGGCAATCTCTGCAAGTCCCATTGGCCTGACAGGCCTTTATCTGGGACAAATGCTGTCAGCAAGCACTAGGAAGGCTGCCACAAGCCATGTCATTTTTGATGGCAGGCTGGCCTCTAATTCTGCACCCTCACATGTGCAAGGGCTTGAGGCTGTTTTGCCTCACTGACAGCAAGGAACTGCAATTATTTTCATTAGAGAATAAATGACCATGCAAGAGGAATTAACACAGTATTTGACATATAAACCAGTAAAGGATGCAGTAGAAGTACTGTATAAACACTGAAAAAATAATCTTTTAACTTCTCCACAGAATTTCTCCCCATAAAATTGTCTGAGTCCTGTACATATTGGATTTCCATAAAGGATTTGCTATTGCTCAAAATCACAGCAATCTATAGCAACCAGCTATGGAAAGCAGGACAAATCTGACATGACAGCTCACTGCTGCCAAAAGAGAGACAAACTTGCTCTCACCTCCTCCCTCTCCCCCAACACCTACTCTCTCCCTGACTCCCTGCCACACAGTCCTGTCTCCACCTCCTCCTCAGACTCCTCCATGAGCTGCCTTCCCTGCCTGAAGAAAGCCATCAGCTGATTGAACACTGTAAAATTGGCTTTGTCAACCTTCATTCTACATGAGCTCTGCAAAAGCACACAATAGTTTGCATTTCCACCTCCTACAAAATAAATGCCAAAAATGAGAGCCAGCAGCAACTCTGTCAAGGCAAGAACCACCAAGCTGCTGCACACAGACCAGGCTGACCATGACAAGTTGCCTCTTAGGACCTGAGTGAGAGCAAGTTCTGTGCTAAATACAGGGCCTGCTTGAGTCCAGCACTTGTAAGAACATATAGATAAACCCTAACTAGACAAAATGGTGTAATAAAGCTAACAATTGTGGTTTCAGGGTTCAGGCAATTAATATAATTTCAGGTCTTGACCTTAATACATTATTTTACTTTTTTTCTCCCCAGTCTGACAAGTTGAACACATGGGTTTTCAGAGAGTTTTCTCCCGTTGCTCTGGCCAGGTTCACAGTTTCTTTTGCAAAGGCTCTGTGGTTAAATTCGATTGGTCCCACACATAATGCCATGTCAGCAGAATGCTTCAGAAGAAGTTTAACACCTACTGTAGTACTGCCTGAGCTACAAACATGTCCACCTCACTGCGGTATCCGCGGGACGAGGAGTATTCCACCAGCATATTCGCACAGCCCTCACCATCTGTCGAGTGCAAGAAGTGGTACCGAGATTCACTATAGTTTTGCTCTAGAGAAAGAAAAAGGAAAAGGCTTTTAAGAGATCAGTTCAGTTAACTTGAATGTAAAAATAAATTTATTAGGCTTGTACTTTATTAGCTGGTAAAAGAACAATAGTTACAGGTGTGGTATATGAACAGGACAGCTGGTAAAAAAGTCTGTAAGTTACAGATAATTCATAAAAAAAAATATAATAATAAATTTTAGTCTAAGTACATTTGAACAACTGCTATTTAATACAGTTTACTCAATTACAGTTACTGCTGGCTTGAACTTTGGTTGTATCATTTTGTCTAAGTGAATGCTGACACTTGATGTGTTGTCACCAGTGTTTAGGACAAGAATCAAGAAATTCCATATTAGACCAAGTGCACCAAGAAATCCAACAGCAGCTTCAGCATCCTTTTTTTATTTCCTATTTTTAGCTTAGCCCACTCTTGCTACCAAAACTAAAATCACTTCCATATGCTGAACAGAATAGCAATTATACAGGAAAAATGGTGTAAGAAATGGCAATAATTTGTTAGAACGTGAAGCAAAGGATTGTGTAAAATCACAGCAATGACAAAACTTTATAGCTGCTAATATTTTGAATTTGAAAGCATTGTTTTAAAAATCTGAGCCTTTTGTGATAAAACTCAAAAGGCTACAGAATAAGAAAATGTAGGCATTTAGCTCTTCAAGAGAACAGTGAGCAGGTGGCTGCAAAATGGGGATTTTTAGTTTCAGAATGCAACTGTTTCTTATCCTAATTGTAGCAGCCTCTAACTTGAATGCAGTGAGCAGAATCCTCCCTTTCTGGCTGGCAGCAGCCATCAGGCTAACATAAATCCCAGGAGAGCAGCTGGGGAATTGCCTATGGCACACAGAGAGGCTGCAGCATTGACCTTTATTGGGTCAGGGCTGTTACATGAAACCACTGTCATCACTTGGCAGCTACTGAAAAATGTAAAATAAACAATCATCTTGCACAGTTATCCATGAGAAACCACAGAAAAAATGGCATGTGTTCAACTGTTCTCAATCACCTTTGTTATGTTTTGAACACAAGACTGTAAATACTGGCTATCATCCACAAGTACAATAATTATTTAGAGCATTTTGTGTTTTTCTTACATCCCATCACAAGTGATAAAGTGGCTCATAAATCAAAGGCAACAACATTCATTTTGAAATAACCCTGCTGGCCAACTTCTCAAAAAGTACTTAATTACAGTCCAAAGACTGTTTTGGATGCCAGGTGATGTTTTTCAATCTTTGTCATGTTTATCCAGGATTTAAAAACAAAAATACTTGTCAACAGAACATTGCTCCCCAGCAATTTTCCTCCTAATGACACAATCAAACTACCTCAATGTCTAAAGGATCAACCTGCCTTTTAGAGAGAGCCTCTCAGCAGTTGTGTTTTGGATTTTGCACTAATAAAGAGCTACAGACCCATTTTTTTTTCTGTAACATTAGGAAGACATTAATGCAAAAATCAGATAATAGCAGAACTCAATCAATCAATCAATCAATCAATCATTTCCATCTCAGCTTCTTTAGGTTATTCCCAAAGCAGATCTCTTATAACAGCTTGCTTTCAACATTTTCAAAGGAAAACACAGAAATGCCAGTTGATTTTTCTTACCTTTCCACAGGGTAATAGCTAGTAACTGGTGTAGTTTTGGATGTCCAAGTTTTCCTGATCCCCCACTGGACCATTTTAGTGCTCTGGATACAAAAGCCACTCTTTCAGGAGAATTTGGATCCATTAGACTAAACAATTTAGCCAAGTTTTCTAGAAGCAGTAAGATTGAAAAATATTTAGCATGAAGAAAAATAAGATCATCTGCTGCTCCTAATGCAGCTCTAAGATCCATCTTTAGGACAGGCAGCAGTGTTAGTTCCAAGCATGCCCACAGAGTCATCAGGAGCCCACAGTTCTCTAATAAAGTTTCCCCCAGACCATTCCTATGGGGAAGGTAACCCTCAGCCATGTTGGGAAGGCATCCAAAAAGGATTGCAGCTTTCAAGACTATTAACAAGTCACTGTGAAGGGAAAGCACAACTAAATGCCACCAAACCAAGAACAGAGGTCACCTCACCTAAAAGGTCTTCTGCTACTTTTGCATCCGACTTCTCCAAAGACTCCAAGACCAGCATGGACAGATCAGCAGCACTGTTTTGCTACAAAACAGACACATACTGGCAGTGATGAATGTATCAGGGCAGAAAAAGAAACATCAACCAGAATTTTGGCAGCAGCAGGTTTAATGCTTTTATCAACAGCTAGGGCACAGTATCAAGTCTCAGCCTTCCTGATAAAAAAATTATAGTAATTTGATGGCATCAAAGAGAAGCCTCCAGGAAAGCAGAACACAGGCACTGTTTGGATGCTCACAAACACTACTGCTGCATGTTCCAGCTTGGCATAATCCTTCTTTGTGGAGAAAGGCTCAACAAAGAGATAAAACAAAAGATTATAAAGCAATTACCCCAAACATTTACCACTGGGAACTCACCATTCATTTATCAAAATCTTGGGAGTAACAATTCCCTGCCCTCAAGCCACACACACAAAACCAGTGACGTACCTGGTTATGACTGAAGAACAGTAAAGCCCCTGAATACATTAGTTCTCTTGCTTCTGCATGTTTTCCTTGTGACATATACCTGAAAAAAATACCAAAGCCATGATAAAAATTACCACTAAATTAGTTTTGTATGCCTAAAGTTACTTATATTTAAAGGATTAAAAGACTGATAAAATTTAAAATAATGACAACAAGAGATTTATTTTGAAATGAGGTTAGTTTCAATAATGATGTAGCTTGAACTGCAAGTTGCAATTTTCTACTCCAGACCTGATGGAATAAAATGAAGAATATAAGAATGAAAACGGAGAGAGCTACAAATATGTTTGGTGCTGGAACAAGAAAAGGGAATGAACCCAAGACTTCAACTGAGCAAAAGCTGCCAATGTACTGAGCCTCTACCAAAGCCATCCCAGTGAGACAACTTTTGGAATACCTCCTGGAGAGCTCGCTGACCTTTCCACTGCTCCAAGTCTCTCTGCCCACAACAACTCTGCCAGGGGACATCAGCCTGTCCTAGCCCTCTGCTGAACCAAAGGAGCTCATATCTCATGGGTCTGAGAGCAAGATAAGCACAGCCAGCAAGACTCACCATGCAACACTTCAAGAGATACAAAATATAATGCTTCAAAACACACCTTCCACCTTTCTCACTTAAGAGTTAATGAAGAAATAAGGAATTAAAGAATTTCCTCCCAGTGGTTACCTCAGAACCTCTTACCACAGAGCTGTGATTGCAGCCTCCTGCACATCATCACTGTCAGTAACTACAGCTCTTGGAGAGTCCCACCTTATAAACACAGCATTTCCCATAAAAGCAGTTTAGGTGCGGCAGAGTTTCCAAATTCCATTTCTCTCAACTGCTACTCAAAAAGTCTGTGCTCTCAGGAGCTGATTTGTTCATATCACAGAGGTGTCAGCTCTACCCTGCTGCTCTGACACCTGCACTTTGGTTTGTCCTCTGTGACACACTGGCTGGGCTGTGCCCCTGTCACCCCTTTCTGTTCCTGGGGCTCAGGGCAGCCTCTCCCTCTGCACCTGGAGGGGCCCTCAAAGCCCAAGAGTGCCCGTGGGGCAACAGAGGGCTTGGTGGTTCTGGGGGTGGTGGGACAGCAGGACAGTGTGGCCATGGGGTCACACCAACCAAAGGGACAACCAGAGCATCCCAAACCTCTTGTGCTGTGCCCCAGATTCCTGTCACACGTGTCCCCTACTGGTACCATCACACAGACAGCAAACAAGGGAGGAAACACTCCTTCCATCCTGCTCATCAACTCTGAGAAACACCAAGGTCTTTTATCCAAAACAGAGCTGAAATAATGGAAGGCACGATGGTAGTGTTTTGGAATAATTCTCAACAACTCAATCACCATGGTAAATGTGAGCCAAATGAATCCACAGCTCCAATGTTTTTATAGTTGGGCTCCCATCCAGGTTTGCTTCTAGGAGTTGGACTCAGCATGGATCCACTTCCACAAGTTCTACTTCCAGTACATTCACAATGCTATATGGAAGCTCCTAATCTGAGAATTATTACAGATGATACTAAAAGCTGCTGAAAACAATTTTACAAAGAGCTGGGGTTTTTCAAAGAACTTTTATCAGAAAACTTGTTTAACAAAAATAAATATTGATGACATTGCTCTAAATGGTATTTAAAACAAGAGAAATCCTGGAACACATTATTTACACAGAAAAATGACCTACAAGTACCAGGGAAACAGAAATGGATGTAACAAGGATATTACACTTTGAAGAGTGACTCAGTTACCAAATCATGAAGAGAGAAGAGCTCAGGCCAGCCTGGGGAGTAGCAAGCACCACCAGCTCAGGTGTGTCTGGGGGAGCTCAGGGTTAGCCAGAACAGCAGTTTTCCACCTGCTCTGTGGATCACAGAGGGATAATAACTCTGCAGGAGGCAGGCTTATGGTAATCTTTCCTCCTCCACTTCTTCCCCTCCTCCACCTGAAAATACAGCTCAGTGCATGAAACTGAGTCAGGATTTCAAGTTTACCCTCTGACAGATGAGACAAATGTTTTACAGGCCTGTGTGTTTAAAGGGAATAAGCACTGGCTAACCCAATCACAGTTCCAGAGTTCAGGTCACCCCAATCAGCATTAATGTGTCTATAAATAAAAATGCTGATTTTTATCACTTTTTACAGAGGATTGACAAGACTACCCAGCCATGCAAATGTCACCCTTTCATTTAACTGAACACATCCTTTCATTTGTATTTAAAATGGAAAAGGCAGGATCTTTGATTCCAACTTAATTCAGGGAGGCTTCAGTATGTGAGTTAATACATCCAGAAGACTGGAGGAGAAGTGACCTCCTGAGCCAAGACTTCTCACACCACTGCAGACACCACATCACATAATCCCTACTATAAAATAGGCCAGGCTTTGTCTTAAATTTAGATTTATTCTCAAATACAATTTAAGTCTTAAGGCCTGGATGGTGCCTGGCTGATCCCATCAGAGGGGTTATGGAAGAACAAACTGATTTAATGTGATGGTGCTGGGACACAGGGCAGGGCAGGGCAGGGCAGGCTGGCTGATGTATGCTGGGAGCACAAGCAGGATTATGCACCAAGGACTTTCCTCCTCACTTTCTTCCATGACTGCTATTTTCCTGTGCTTACTCATAGACCTGTTCTCATCCTAACACAGGTGAGGACTGAGAATAGGGGACACAAGACACAGGACAGGGAGGGTGGTGTCCAGTTTTGGACCTGTCACTTCAAGAAAGACACTGAGAGGCTGGAATGTGTCCACAGAAGGGCAATGGAGATGGGGAAGGGTCCAGAGCTTGAGTCTGATGAGAGCAGCTGAGGTAGCTGGGGGGACTCAGCCAGATGTGGCACTCAGTGCCACTGTCCAGTTGACAGGTGATGAAAGCCAAAAGTTGGACCTGATGACATCAGAGATCTTTTCCAACCTAATTGATTCTGTGAAGCCAAATCTCCATCCTGTTGTCTCCCAGCAGAGCCACAAGTAAACAAAGCTGGGAGCAGCTGAGGAAGCCCCTAGAACAAACACCTTCTTCTGTGCTCCTGCAAGCAAGGGTCTCCATGCTAAAATCTGATGAGAGAAAGGGTGACCCCTGCAAGGTGCAGTGCACCTGAAAAATGAAGCCTAAAAATGCTTTGCAATAAAAACAATCTCCTTATGACAAAAGAGGCAGTAGTAGCATTTCTGAATAAAAGCCCAGGCCTGCTCTACTTAGTCACTGTCACGTACGCAAACACTACACCAAGTGGAATTTATTCCAAAAAGCTCCTCCGAGCAGACGATTCTGGCCACCCTGAGAGCTGCCCCTTTCCGAGCGCGGCTCCAGGGTGACCGTGCCGTGAAACAAAGTAACCCCATGTACCGGCGGAGCAACAACCAACCTTCAAACCCTGAAACCCTCACGGCAGCCAGCTGACACCCGCACGGAGCGAGCAGAGCGGCGGCTGCGCAGGGCTCAGCTCCAGGACGGGCCCGGGGCACGGAGCGAGCCCGGACCGGAGCGCCAGGGGACGCCCGGGGAGACACCCCCGGCCCATCCCGCTGGCCGGGGGGCCTCACTCGGCCTGGCCGGAACGTGCGGCCACCGAGCGGCGTTGGGGGACGGGGCCGAAACTGCGCCCTGCCCGTGACCTGCGGGCAGCGTGACGCAACACCCCCGGCGCCTCACCGGACAGTGCCCGGGCCGGCGGGGCGCGGACCGGGCCGGGGCCGGGGCTAGCCTCCAAAGGCCGGCGAGCAGCGGCTCCCCCGCAGCCCCGAGCCGCTGATGGAGCCGGCGGGGCCGAGGGCGGTGACGCGACCGAACCGAGCCGAGCCGAGCCAAGCCAAGCCTGGGGCCGCCGCTCCCCGGCCCGGCCCGGCCCGGCCCGGGCCCCGCTTGGGCCGGCGCCGCGCGCCCGCCCCACCCCGCCCCCCCGCGGGCCAATCAGAGAGCGGGGCGCGGAGATGGACAAGCAAGACAGCCAATGGGGAGCGCCCGTGGGTGCGGCGGGCGGCAGCGGAGCAGAGTGCGTGGGAAGGCTCTGGAAGGCCGGGCGGGGGAGGGGCGGCGCGGCGGGCCCGGCGCGGCCCTACCTGAAGAACAGCGTCCGGTACATCTGGTGCGCCTCGTAGTAGTCACCCTTCTCGACGCTGGCGCGCAGCTTGCCCTCCACGCGCTGCACGCCGCCGCGGTTCCTGCCGCCGCCGCCTTTCGCGGCTTCCTGCTCCGCCGCCATGATCGCCGCCGCCATCAGCGCGGAGGACGGGGAGGGGAGGTGGGAGCCAGGCGCATGCGCACGCAGCGCCGGCGCCCCGCTGCCCGGCTTCCGCCCGCTCGGACGGCGGCCCGCTCGGCTCAGCCCGCGCGGCTGCGCGCGGGGTCCCGAGCGGTAACGGCGGCTGAGAACGGCGAGAGGGGAACCCCGGGACTCGAGGCGGGCACGGCCGGGCCTGGAGCCACAGCAGCGCAGGAAATCGCAGGAGAACATTAATAAAAATCAAGGAACGGCGGATGGAGCGCGGGTAATGAGCCTGGCTGAGGAGTGCTGTGGTACAGGGATCCAGGCAAGGCTGAAGGCACAGGAGTTAAAGCAACCCCGCATCCTCCACGCAGCTGGAAGGGATCCAGCACCCACCCAAATGTGCTTTTTCCCCAGGCCCCACCACTGGTGTCACCCACCAGCCACGCGCTGCTCCTGGGCCTGCCCCTCACAGCTTTGTGCCCCTGCCCCTTGTAAAAACTTCCATGAAATCCCCCAACCCTGCCCCAGCTCGATCACAATCTTTCCTCACTTATTTAAGCAGCTGATAAAAAAAAAAAAGCAGAAAAGAGGCTTTATTTCTTGTTTCAAGTATTACATGCACTTTCAAAAATTAAAACTCTTTATTTAAACATCTCAATAGCATCTTGTCAGTTTGGAGGCAGCAAAGAATAACAGACATTTTGAAAAGCATTTACAAAAATACATTGCACAAAGTCCTATCTTGCTTTTTTTAAAAATAAGTTAGTGTTATTCAAAATATTCCCCCCCAGCTACCTAATTTCAATTTATACAGGATAATTCTAATTTTAAATATGTAACCTATAATATGAAAACACCTGTACATGTGTCATCTACTCCTCTGCGTAGGCCATAGGTTCTGTCTCTAGGTTGAGTGAAAAACAGTTCTTCACATGGAGACTTTTTGTATTTCAAACATTCGAGGACTGTTGTGCAACATACATAACTCAATTCAGAAAACCAGTCAGCAGGTCCATGTGTAACAGTTCTGTGTAACTACAAAATGCACTAGAACAGCAAGATAAAAATTCTGCAAACAAGTGAATTTCAGGAATCTTTTCCGAAAAGGATCTTCAAAGCAGCAAGGCTACAGGGGGGCAACAAGCAGTTTCACCTTGTTCTACGTGAAAATGTTGTTTCCAAGAGCAACTCTACTCATCTGGTACCCAACTAAGGCTTTGGGGAGGATCAGGAATGCCCGTGTTTGCACACAGCAGCGCTGAGCTCGAGTCCCTCTGGTAACTGTGACGCAGCAAGAATTGCTTCAGGCTTGTTTTCCACACACCAAATTCTCACAGTACAAATGGAGAATAACAATCAACCAGTCTAAGAAAATCTTGTCCCACTTTGGACAAATTAAGGTAGTGCAACTGCTGTACAGCAGTGTTTACTGAGCAATTCAGCAGGCTTATCAGCTCCAAGCCAGTCAGTTAGTACATCAAGGTCGATGTGGGATTGACACTAAAAAAAGAACAAACTGGCCAAGTTGCCATGGTAAAAACCCTTAAAATAACTTCAGTTACTTAAAGTTATCCCTGACTTTTAGAGCAATTCGCGGCCACAAATTACAGTAAAGCATTCTCAGTCGCTGGTGTTGAAACTGGTTTTGGTTGTGTTAGCTTTCCCTGACAGTAGTATTTATTATATTCAACATGTAGCAAAGAAGCCCTTTTGGATCCACCAAAAAGGTTAAAACCAACTGTCAACTGAAGGACACCTTTAGCCACAGTCAGTGTTCAAAATGTACCACAGTTTTTGGCTTATGGTGCCAAGCTAGCAAAAGTATGCAGTTAAGTCCTGGATTAAAAAAGAACAGATTCCTAGTTGCAGAAAGTGTGGTTTATTCTTTTTAAAAAAACCTATACATTCATTTGTAATAAAATGTGTGTCACCTGTTTGTCAACTGGGCTTTATGAACCAGAGCTGTTTGCATGCATTATTTCTCTCAGCATGGACACAGAAATATGAAGCAAACTGGCAATTACAAGCTGAGCCTTAGAGTAAATTAAAATTGGGGTTTATACATTTCTGCTGACAGTCTTCTGCCTTTATCAGAGGATCAACAGTTCTGCAGTGTGCATCTTGCATCCTCGTCCTTTACAGATTCCAGTGTTGTAGGCTTCCCAGTATATACAGATTAGGAACAAAATGTACAAAGCAGCCACCCCCAGCTGTAGTGTGGATTACTGGGCAGGTTTCCCATGCACTCTGAACCGATAAAGGCAGGTGTACTCTACATGGCCCCAGTTAGAGAAAATCCTCAGCTCCACTATTTGGAATGCATCTTCATTTTTCTCCTGAAGAAGAAAAAAGCAAACACAAAAATCAGTGCCAGGGTTCTGGCATAAACAGCTGCAACTGAAGCTTTCTTATTAATGACTGTTGCTACTTGCAGGAACCTAAGCTATGCCATGGGAATTTTCTGTTCCTTTGAGAACCTCCCGTGCCTCACAATTATTTGAGAGTCTGAAGCAGCATGGAACAGACTCTCCCCATGTTTAGCAACTTTCCCCCATCTGTATCCACATAGCAACAAACCTTCCTCCCCTCTCATCTATTCAGGCCATGGGTTTGAGGGACAGGTAGATTCTACCTCAGCTTCTACACTGCCCTCATGAGAACAAGGCCTTTTCCCTTCACTGCTCATTGCACACAAGTGTAGAAAGTAAAAGTAGCTTTCTCCTGACATTTTAAATCTTATAATCCAGACTTACCATCACTGGAAACATCTGCAGTGGTTCTCCATCTTGATCATAGACATACTCTCCTAGAAGCTTGCCTTCTTCTTGATATTCATCATCCAGACCCTGTAACAACAGCATAAGGATTTTTATTTCCATCAAACCAATGGAATTTCCAATCAAACCCAAACTAGAAGCAATGCCTACACAGAGTATCAAGAGACAGCACTTGAAGGTCTATGAAGCCAGGATCAGAATGTTTCCCATGTAATTTAAAGTTCAAGCACAGCTCTGTATTCCAGTTTCCTGCCCTGTAAATAGCTGTGTTGTTTACATGTTTTCATGGTCAAACCCCTTAATTTTCACAGCTAAACCCTTATCACAGTGTGCAATATAAACTGCTCAGGACAAACAGTGAGAGAACATCAAGGTTGAAGTCAACATTCAGATGCTTGCAGGTGACTGTTTAAGCATTTAGAAAAACCTGACAAAAAGTTCTCAGATATCATAACTGCTCTCTGATACACCCTGTGGTCTGTTCTGTAATCCTGCCTACACAACTGTGGTGCTGGGGAAAATGAACTAAAAAAATTATTTAAGGCACATCACAGTTAAGGTGCAGAGACAAAATGGGAGGGATAGTGGGTGGAGAGAGGAAAAACGGGAAGGAGGATGAAGCAAAATGTATGAAAAAAATAGAATAAATAAAAAAACAATCTCCCTCCAGAAGTGTTTACTACTGTATAGAGCAAGAGTAAATAGCTCACCCAAAATTAGTTGCAATACTTGTTATTCATAATCTCAAAGCTCACAAATAAAAGTAATTTTTAAGAGCAATGAGTGAAACAGTTTATCATCTTCTTAGCTGTCCTTCCTCAAGTTACTCTCCTCCAAGGTATGCAACACAAATATTCTGTGTACAAACATCAACTCAAAATCAGAGACAGACTTACATATACTGCAAAATTCCTAGGAGCACTGGTGATATTTCCTGTTGGTGAAAGAGTTTTTGGTATGTGTTCCAATGTAAAGGCAGTTGGATAGATCTTCATGGAAAGTCTCACCACAAGATAGCCCTGTGATCCTTTGAAAGCCCAGCAGTTCCCTGGATACATGTCGGGCTGCACACAAGCAAGGTGGAGAGAACAAGATGGGATACAACAATGAAAACAATGTTGCAGTGTTTTAAAGAGTTGTAATGAATTTGGAGTTCTTAGGGACAGTCTTAAACAGTAAGGTACAGAAATAATCTCCTTGCTGGAACTCTCCAGGAAGGCAGCACACTCACCTAAGCTACCAGTGGTGTTTTGAAGACCTGCCTTGAGATGAGTTCTCAGCAGGAACCCTCCCAGCCCTCCCACTTTGCACAAGCCCAGTGCACCACCCAAGCTTCCTGTGACTCTCAGTTT